GCTCCTTCACAGCCTTCTTACGATTACTCTCCTCCGGCAACTTATGACGTAAGCAATATCCCGTATTCTGAGGGTTTTATACTTAAATCTGCTTATCAGTGTATATTGTCTCATAGTTTCAGACTAATAAGGATTTTTTTCAGTCTCCTGCTAAGTACGACTTCAACTACGCTGTCAAGGACGACTACTCCGGAAACGACTTCGGTCACCAGGAAGCACGCGACGGATACAACACTCAGGGTTCCTACTTCGTCCTCCTTCCCGACGGTCGTCTGCAGAGGGTCACCTACACTGTCAACGGCGACTCTGGTTACGTAGCTGAGGTCAGCTACGAGGGTGAAGCCCAGTACCCCGAGTACCATCCTACTCCTGCCTACAAGCCTACTCCTGCTTACAAGCCTGCCCCTGCTTACAAGCCCGCTCCAGCCTATGAACCCGCCCCTACTTACGCCTAAGTGTGTATAAACTAATTTATGCAAGATATTTATTAAACGAAAACCCAAGCATCTAGTTGTATTACCTTTCAACCTGAAAATATTGACAAAATTCATTGTGTGAACAAATTTTTGTGTAACCGTAAAGATTATGATGTGTCGAAACGAATAAAAAAAATACAGGCTTGTGTATATGCATATATACATACAAAAATATGTGTTTATATGCACACATATGTATGTGATATATTTATATATACATATGTAATATATATGTACATATATATACATAAATATATACATATATATACAAATATAATACATGTATGTATTATTTATATACGATATATTTATGTATATATATGTAATATATATGTATATATATGTAAAATATATGTATATATACATAAAAATATACAATTATACATATATATATACAAATATAATAATATATACATGTATACATATTTGTACATATATACATATACACTACATTTATATACATATACACGTACATTTATATACATATACACGTACATTTATATACATATACACGTACATTTATATACATATACACGTATCTTTATATACATATACACGTACATTTATATACATATACATACATACACATATATACATATATATGCACATACAATTTAGACAGAATTTTGACAAGAATATATAGTGGTAGTAAGAGATAAATCAGGTCTCAGGAGGAGGGTCAAGATCGAAGAGTCTGGGGAGGGATCTTCTAACGAAGAGGTAAGATCATCCAAGCCCCATTTACCAGTACTCAAGTTAAAATTACGCATTTTTCTAATTAACAGAGCTAGCATTCCCATACGAATTTACTGATTTATGAATAAAAATAGCACTTTTCTAGTTAAGCTGGTGACCTTCATCACGTAAATCAACGAAACACTCATTTCATTCTCTGACATATCTAACATCACGTTTAAGTTCTTTTTTTTTCGAAAATACTACCGGTCTCGCTATGTAAAACTTGGGGCAAGTCTCAAGAGCACCGCTACCCGCATTGTGCCTAACTACAGTAGCATAATACTACGCGTTCGGATACGTAAAGACAATGTCAATTACAGCGTCTTTGAACATATGTCGTTTTTCATCGAGGGACGAGTTATACGAAATGATTGATGGATTACTGGCATTATCGTGTTCGGTATTAAGGAAATGAGTATAAAATTTCCATCTTCCAGATGAATGTGCTTCATTTAAGAAAAAGGATATTAATTTCTAAAACATCTCAAAAATGACATCGAGCTCCCGATCAATAAATTCATTATCCCAAATCCAATATGCCTCATAAAAAATAACAACAAAAAATAAAAAACATTGCCGACACTACTCTCTTTTTAAGAATAGATGATTCGTGAAAAAGTGAAGGTAATTAGCAGTGTGAGTTGGTTTACGTTAAACCGGAAATTTAAGCAAGCCATTTGCATTGAATATAAGAACGTCGGAAAAAGATAAATTGCCTGAATCTTTCTATTCTACTTTAAAATTCATAGTGCGAGCGAGGTTGTTGAATTTTCTGAAAAAAAAAAAAATATGCTTATCTATCTTTTTGAGATAAAACACCAGTTAAACAAGAGTTTAATGGGCGGGTCACTGAGTTGCGAGACGAAATAATAGGCATTAGAGGGACGCCCTGTTTGTTTTATGAAGGCCATAAAAATATGGAATAGAGGGATTTACCGTTATAAAGCAAGACTGCTTACACGAGCAGGTAAGTCCAAATGCACACACACACATAAACATACATATATATATATATGGCAATATATGTACCTTTATATGCATACATATATTTGTAAATTATGTATGCATCCGTATGTGTATATATATATATATATATATATATATATATATATATATATATATATATTCATATTCACATTCATTCATAAAATACAAATATATTATATAGAAGCATTCATATGTATACACATGTATATGTGTGCACGCGCGTGTGTGTATACATATATATATACATATCTATATATGTACATATATACACATAAGTGTGTATATATATATATATATAA